GTTGATGTATTTAATTACATTTATTGTCTTGCGAATGTTGAACCAGACTTGCCTCCCAGGCATGAAGCCTACTTGGTCATGACAGGTGATTTTTGAGATGTGTTGTTCAATCCGGTTTGCTAGGATTTTGTTGAGAATTTTGGCATCCATGTTCATCAAAGATTTTGGCCTGTAGTTCTCTTTCTTTTTTGGGTCTTTACCTGGCTTGATTATCAATATGATGTTAACTTCATAAAATTATTTGGGGAGGGTTCCATCTTTCTCAATTGCCTGGAATACTTTCAGTAGGATTGGTATCAGTTTCTCCTTAAATGTCTTGTAGAATTCTGCTGGAAAGCCATTTGGTCTAGGGTTTTTTTTTTGTAGGTAGTTTTCTTATGACATAGTCAGTTTCCTTGGTTGTTATTGTTCTATTAGGGTTTTGATTTTTTGTTGTTTCAACCTAGGCAGGTTGTGTGATGTCAGAAAGGCTTCTATTTCATTAAGGTTTTCAAGTTTGTTTTCATATAAGTGTACATAGTAATCTCTAATGATCTTTTGTATTTCTTCAGGGTCAGATGTAACTTCATCTTTTGTGTTTCTGATTGTATTTATTTGGGTTTTTTCTCTTTTTTTCTTGGCCAGTCTAGCTAGGGGACTATTGATCTTGTTTATCCTTTCAAAGAACCAGCTTTTTGTTTCATTGATTTTTTTGTATTATCTTTTTGTCTTCTATGTCCTGGATTTCAGCTTTTATTTTGGTTATCTGGATTCTTCTGCTGAAGTTAGAGTTTTGGTGGTCTTGCTTTTCCAGCTTCCTAAGGTGATTTGTTAGGCCTTTAATTTGTGATCCTTCCATTTTCTTCATGTGTGTTTGTAGAGATATGAATTCCCCTCTTATTACAACTTTCATGGCGTCTCAGAGATTTCGGTAAGATGTTTCTTCATTATTATTTGTTTCCAGGTATGTTTTAATCTCTGTTTTGATTTCATCATTGACCCAGGAATTGTTTAGCATTATGCTATTTAGTGTCCATGTCTTTGTGGGCTTGGGGGGAAACCTTATTGGTGTTAATGTTTATTTTTATTCCACTGTGGTCTGGGAAGGTGCATGACAAAATTTTGATCTTTTGAAATTTGTTTATGCTTGATTTATGGCCAAGTATGTGGTCGATCTTAGACTACATTCCATGCGATGCTTAGTAGAATGTATATTCTGTGGTCATTAGGTAGAGTGTTCTGTAGGTATCAGTGAAGTCCATTTGGTCAAGAGTCACATCGAGGTTCTGGAACTCATTGCTGATTTTTTGTCCTGATGATCTGTCTAGGGTTGGGAGTGGGGTATTGAATTCTCCAGCTATGATAGTGTTAGAGTCAATATCTTTTTTGAGTTTTCCTAGAAGGTGCTTTATGAAAGTTGGTGCTCCTATGTTGGGTGCATATATGTTTAGGATAGATATTTCTTGTTGATAGAGTGAACCTTTTATCGTTATAGTGGCCTTCTATATCTTTTTAAATTTTTGATAGCCTAAATGATATTTTTTCTGAAATTAGGATCATGACTCCTCCTTTCTTTTGTGTTCCGTTTGCCTGAAAATTTGTTTCCCATCCTCTTCCTTTGAGTCTTTGAGTATCCTTTCTGGTGAGGTGGGTCTCTTGAAGGCAATATATTGTTGCCTGGTGATATTTTATCCATTTTGCCATTCTGTGTCTTTTCAGTGGTGCATTTATTCCATTCACATTCAGGTTAATTATTGAAATGTGAGAGTTGATCCCTATCATAAGGTTCTTATTGATTTGTTGTTTTTGTTCCTCTTTGTTTGTTGTCTTTCTTTTGATTTTGGGGTTGGTTCATGTGTGTTTTGCTCTTTTTTCTATACTCTTGTGAAGAACATTGTTCTTTTTTCCTTTTCTTCTGTGTTTAATACTTTCTTAAACGTTTCTTATAGAGGTAGTCTGGTGGCAGCGTAAGTTCTTAGTGACTGGATATTTAGGAAAGATTTTAATTTTCCTTTACTGATGAAGCTGAGCTTGGCTGGGTAGGTTATTCTTGGTTGAAATTGTTTATCTTTTAGAACTTGAAGATAGGGCTTCAAGCTCTCCTAGCCTGCAAGGTTTCTGTAGATAAATCTGCTGCTATTTTAATTGGTCTTTCATGGTAGGTGATCTGGCCTTTTTCTCTTGCTGCCTTTAGGGTTTTTTCTTTTATACCTACTTTGTTTAGACACATTATTGTGTGTCTGGGAGTTGGTGTTCTCATTTGTTGTCTTGCAGGGGTTCTCTGAATCTCTTGTGTTTGAATTTTCACATCACTGATGAGATGAGGGACAATTTCTTCAATAATCTCATTGAATGTTTGTTTCAGGGTGACCTCTGTCTCTCTTTCTGTTTCAGGAAGTCCAATTACTCCTAGGTTTGGTCTCTTGAAGTAATCACTCATCTTTGAAGGTTTTTCCTGTCTTTTTAAGCTTCTTTTCTATGTTTTTGACAGTTTGGGTTAGTTCTATATTTTCGTCCTCAAGCTCTGAAATTCTTTCTTCTGCTTGGTTAATTCTGCTTTCCATGTTTATCAGTTTGTTATTTATTTCATTCACAGTATTCTTTACTACTGTTATTTCAGTTATCAGCTCCTTTCTAGTTTCTTGTTGTCTCTCCTCAATTCTTTTAAATCTCTCCATTAATGTCTTGTTACCTAGGTTTGTAGTTTGAGACCAGTCATTCTGGGACTCTTTATTGTTTGGATTCCGAAGTCAGTTTTCTCAGTGTCTGCCCTCCCAGAGGTCTGGGAGAGACCCATATTCTTCTTTTGGTTTTTCTTCATTTGTGAAATTTTTCTCTCTCTCCCTTTTCCTCTCCTTCTTTAATTCTGTTTTCCAGAGAAGGTAGGGTTGCTTTGCTTCTTTTGTTCAATCTCCTGTTCTTCCTTGTGAGGGTCCTCTGGCTTTGTTCACTTTTGAGGCTGGACTGTAGGTTGGGGGCTGTACTTTTTGCAATTTTGAGGTTTAATTGAGGGGGCAGCTGTGATTCAGAATCTACCTGTAGATCCCAGTATCCACCAACAGGTGTGTGGGCAAACTGGAACCCATTTCCCACTGCCTTACTATCTGTCCGTGCGGCAAGGTTTAGGTTTGCTCATTGGCACAAAAGGAAGTATGAAAAAGGAAAATAATGGAAAGTGGGGTTAAGAGGAAGTTAGAGAGAGAGAAGAGTGAGAGGGAAAACAGACATACATACCAACTAACGAATGAAAAAGAGACACAAGTCCAGAAAAGACTGAAAAACAGACACACAAACAAAATTCCCTAAAGCATACCGGTAATCACCCAAAGACAGCCCCATAAAATCATGCCTTTTGATGCGCTTTTCCCCAACACAAACAGGTAGTCTAAATCAAAAAGCAAAAAAAAAGTGAGCAAAACAAACAGTCAAAACAATAAAATCAAAAATCAAAAAAAGAAACCAGACTAGCTCTGGAATCTTTCCTGAGTGTGTGAAGTCTGTCCAGCTCTGATCTCTAGCCTCTCCCCTTTGCTTTCATTGCAGGCAGATAGAGTTACTCCAAGCTTGGGGTGATTCCCTTGGCTGGCTGCCTGAGAGGTCTGTGACAGGACTGAGTTGCCTGTATGTGACTAAGTGTAGGGGAGGGCCTTTTGTCTCCTGTTTAGCGATGTTACCTTAGGAACCAAGGTGGAGACTGCTTGTAGATGGGAGGGACAATGCAAATCTCTGCCTGGAAAATGACCGAGGTGGGCAGCTCCTCTTTCGTGGACCCTTTCTCTCCACCTGTCCTTTATCTCCACTCATCTGGGTCCATGGGCGATCCACTGTGATGGACTGTGGTGTTGTGTCTCCAACGTCAGGCACTGGATATCATCGACACAGCTGGGCACTGGATCTGGTGTCCCGCCAGCGGCCTGGGATGGAGGAAGGAGCTGGGAATTCCCTCTTCTGGAGCTGAAAGTTGAGAGCCACTGATCAGCACCTCCTTAAGATATATTGTTCCCTTACACAGCCATGGGGTCCCATGCTGGGTGCCTCATCCAGAGTGGGGACTGGTGCTTCAAAGGGCGGGTGGTGAGTGGTGACAGCAGCTTGGGGCCCGCACAGGGCACTTCAGCCAGGAATGGAGCTGTCATCTCTGAAGGGCAGGAGCCTAGAGCCTCCCTGGTTGACGGTGGCTTGAAATAGGGCTGGGCAGTGCCCAGAACCCAGGACAGGGAGCTAGAACTCTGAGGAGTGAGCACCGGGCTGCTGGGCTGGGAGGGAGCCCAGTCAGGAGGGAGCTGGCACCATCTGAGTGCCGGGCGGATCAGTGTAGCCAGCAAGGTTTTATCCAGATCTCCACAAGGCGGTATCCAAGGGCCTCCACAGGCGGTGGCTGGCGGCTTGGGGCTGAGTGATACATTGTAGTCGGGGAGAGAGATGTGATCTCCACACAGCGGGCAGAAGCAGCTGAGGGGCTGCAATAGCCAGCTTTGCGTGGGATCGAGGGTCTCCAGGCCTCGGACCAGTGTGGCTGGCGGTTGGCAGAGGTGTGGGGGAAGGAAAATAAGAGTCTTTTTGGGAACTCACTTTCAGAGAATCTCACAGTCCCGCCTATGCCATTGCCATATTACTGGAACTCCCCAAACTATCTTTTCTTTGATGGAGAGTTCCTGAGACTTTATGTGTAACAGAATCACAATACCAGAACTATGATTATGTAGTGTTAAGAGTAGAAATTCTGCTTTTTGCAAAATTTGAAATAAAAAAATATTTTAGGTTCATAGAAAAGGAAAAATGAAATATTTAATTATTTCTTTTGTAATTTGCCAGATTCATGGTCTCTTTGCCTGTAGAAAATCAGTAGGAAACTGTAGCTTCAGGTATTATCCACCATTGTGCCTGAGAAGTGTGTGGTTAAATGTGTATGCTCAAATCTTCATCTTGCCTCTAAGGTTTCTAGAAAAATAATAATGGTAGAAATAAATTAATTAAAAATATTCATATGAATGACTTTTGTTCTCTTGATTACTTCTTAGAAAGTAGCATGTGCTCTGGAAATTGAGAACAAAGTCCTTCAGGAAAAACTGAAACAGGCTTTGCAGGTAAAAGGTATCATGTTCCTTTAAAATTGTTAAATGAGGAAAATATCCACACATAACTATTTAAAAGAATAATTTTGACTTTATAAGTGAAGATGTATGTATGGTAGTATTTTGCTAGGTTTAAAAATATTCTTTTTGTGCAATTGGTATATATTAATAAGTGTAATATTCATTCTTAACAAAATAGTAATTCAGAAAGAAAAGTAAACTTTCCTTTAAAATTTTTAATTAGTATAGATTCATAGTAGTTGTACAGATTTATAAGGATATGTGATATTTTGATATAATTCTACAGTGTACAAAGACCAAATCAGGGTAATTGGGTTATTCATAACCTCAAGGATTTATCATTTATGTTAGAAACATCCCAGTTGTACTCTTTTAGTTATTTTAAAATATGTAATGATTATGAATTATAGTCACCCTATTGTGCTATGAATACTAGATTTTATTCCTTCTCTCTAATATTTGTATTTTTTCTTTTTAAATTGATCATAATGATTGTACATATTTCTAATGTGCCTGATATTTTGATATATGTATACAATGTGTAATGATCAACTTAGGATAATTGAGATAGCCATTACTTCAAACATTTATTATTTCTTTGTATTGGAACCATTTAGAATCTTTTCTTCTAGCTATTTTGAAATATGCAATAAATTATTGTTGAGTATATACACAATGAAATCTTATTCATCCTTAAAAAGAATGAAATCCCTTCACTTGCAGCAACATGGATGGAACTGGGGAACATTATGTTCAGTGAAATAAGTAAGGTACAGAAAGACAAATATTTTATGTTCTCATTGATATGTAAGAGCTACTAGCACCTTTTCTGCTCAAGCAGTTTATATTTAATCTACCTAGTTCAGTACATAATCATTGGCAGTTATCATTACTATTATAGATTACTAGAGGAGATTAGTAATCACTGAGGCTACAGAATTACTGAAGACATAACCTTTATGATAAATAAAATAAACCTCAGTTTTTCTTGGGCCAAGACCACTTCTCTATCTGTCCTAATGGAGGATTGGGAGACAATTCTTCATACTAGGAGGTAAACTCAAGCTGCCGTTGAGATGCCAAGCATAAGTCTGTTCATAGTGAGATGGTACTAAAATCTACCCTTCATATGTTTAACAGTAAATTTTCTTAATTAAATAAAGATAATCTTTTTCAAAATGATAATATATGTAAAAAAAAATTTCAGGCATTCTAATTAAACACAGTTAAACTAGGATGTTGGCTCTTACTGTTTATCAAATTCTAGCTAAACAGTAAAACAAAATGAAAGAAGCTACAAAAATGTTCAAAAATGAACAGACAACAGTATAATTATTTGTATATCATATAATTGTTTTTTTGAAAAATGGAAGCTAATCTATGAAGTTATGAGTGATATAAAGGTGATTGGGAAGGAAATAGAATAAGTTTTAGAATAGAATAGAAAACTTTCAGAAAATTTCCTTTTTATCAGAAACTATCATTTAGAAATTGTTCAATATTCAGAAAAGATGATAGAAAAAATTTTATTCATATTAGTTTAGAATGATATTAGGATATCCTATTAGAAATACAGTTTTTTTGTTTGTTTGTTTTAGTTGGAGTCTCATTCACTCTTGGTCACCCAGGCTGGGTTGCAGTGGCATGCTCACAACCACTGCAGCCCTAACCTGCTGGACTTACGTTATCCTTCTGCCTCAGCCACACAGTTTTTTTTTTTTTTTGTTGAGTTGGAGTCTCACTCAGTCACCCAGACTGGAGTGCAGTGGCCGCTCC